CTATCAAAATAACGGAGTTTTAAAACGTGGGAAAGCAGTTACAGTAAGAAACTGTCAAGAATATTCGTTTTCCGAGACAGTATTTACTATCTCTCTGGGCGAGACAGCAAATTTACTGTCTCGCTGGGCGAGACAGCAAACACTGTCTCGGCCAGCGAGACAGTAAACACTGTCAGCCGAGATAGCAAATGCTGTCTCGCGATCTCATTTTTTCTCTAACTGTTCTAGGGATTATAAATACCCCCCGAAGGCCATTTTTGATGGGGGCTGATCATTTTGAGCACTTCAGAGCAGAGAGGGCAGAGTACTCGAGCTTCGGCAACTCCTTGATATTCAGGCTTTGACTTGATTTCAAGAAGAACGACTATCTTACCTTGATAAGATATCGTTTCAAGTTCTCACTTCGATAAACGAAGTCAGAATCATAAACCCCTCACGATTCAATCAGAATCTGTGATTTGGTGGTCCACGGGCTAATGCACCCCCGGCACAGGCAAAGATCCCACGCAAGCAGCGATCCAAACAACGATCCTGCGTTTGTTTCTCAAGAGTTGTAATTTTCATTTTGTTGTGTAAAAGAAGTCTTATAAAAAGACTATCTCTTTTTTGAATTTATTGTAATCGACCGAAGATATAATGAATTCCACGACAAAACCAACTTTTGACGAAAACATGGAGCCCATATGTCTTCAAGCTGAAATTAGGTTTGTATGAGGATGAGTATCCTTGAGTTAGATTTTTCATTGCTAAGGCTTATGATCACATGACACTACCAACATATTGAAGTTGATATGCACCCTCCAGTTTGAGAATTTGATTGTGAAGGGATGAAACATGTGTTTTTTGTGTTGGATTAACAGAGGGTTCATGTACTCTTAAATTTACATGAGGTGTTGTCATCCTCAACTTGATTTTCATTTATACGAGGTATTATCCCTCAAATTGATTTTGATTTATATGAGGTACTATCCCTCACATTAAGTTTCATTAATAAGGTTTGTTCAGCTCATCAAATTTGACTACAAGGGGAAGACGTGCATCTCTGAATTAATTAATATGGAGGGCTTACCTTCATTGGTTTAGACTTATATGAAGTATTATTCCTCATATTGGTTTTATTGACAAGGCTTGTTGAGCTCATCAACTTTGACAACTACAAGAGGAAGATGTACCTCTAAATTAATTAATACGAAGGGCCTACCTTCATTGGTTTAGATTTATATCAAGGTTGCTGATAGCGGATCGCGGCGCGTCGCGGTGAGGTACCGCTAAGGCTATTGCGCGCTATTGCGGCGAAATAGCGGCAAATAGCGCATGGTCAAATAGCGGTCAAATATAAATATATTTAAATATTCTAAATAATAAGAAAAATCATATAAAAAATCTACAAATGCATACTTGATGCCTAAACATGAAATAGATGTGTAATAATTACATAATATTAACAAAGTACTATAATTATAAAGATTAAAGAATGAAAAAACGTACTTGTTTATCAAAAAGACCGTTTTTTGTTCCATTTTTTCAACTTTCAAGTCTAATATAAAAGTGCTCAACAATAAAAAACATTGATTAGTAACATCATCATTTTATTAACTACTAGAAATTTGACCTAAAAAGTAAAATATCCAAGTATAAATAAATGACTAAATGAGCAAAGCAAGATAATATCATATGATATATAATAACTCAATTATATGTTTGAATTTTGAAAATAACTCAACCCAACCTAATTTGTTTTTATTATGCGTGATTGCTCAACGCAACAATTAGCTCATCCCACTAAAAATACTCATGTTATTGTGAATGTTTATCTTCATCATAACCTTATATAGAATTTAGATTTCACAGAAGGGTAAAACACATATTTTCCTTTTTAAACTAGACACATCTCACTCCAGCAAAAATTTTGAAAAGAAAAAAGTTAAAAAGAAAAAATTAAACAGAAAAGAAGACCCGTCCTGCTCCTGCTAAATTTTAATCATCACAAGATATTATCTAGTCCAGTACAATCTCTCCATGTACGTCCCACGTTCCCATCTCCCCATAAAACTTTTCACACAGGCTCAATCATCATCGTCCATTCTATCCATGGGTATATCCGACGGTTAATATTTCAACAATAATCTCAGTGCTTCCTCACCGCTGCCCTTTTCCCAAAATTCAGCCCCGGTTCCTCCTTTCAGAAATGTTCGTCCTACCCAAACTCAGTCATTTATTTTTTTTCGCTTCCCAACAGAGACGATGCCGACGAAGCTGCTGTTGGCTTGACCGGAGACTGGAGAGACAGTGAACGAGAGATGACTTGACCGGAGGAAGTGAGAGAGAGAAAAGTGAGTCGTCGTTGTTGGTGCGGAATCGGCGCTGGAAGTCATCGCCGGCGGCGATGTTGACGGCGCTGGAAATCGTCGAGAGAGGCAGAGCTGTCGGGAGTCGGGAGAGACCAGAGAGGCGGCTAGGGCAAAGGTTAGAGGGTTTTATTGTAATGGGTGCGGGTTGGGTTCGGGTCGGGTTTGAGGAGACGTTTATTAAAACCCGTAGCGGAATTTACCGCTTTTTCCCCGCTTTTTAGCGCTACAACGCGCAATTAGCCGCGATTCGAGCAAATAGCTGTTTTTCTCCGCCTAACCCACCCGCAAACCCCTTAAGCAGGGCGGCAAAGGCCCGCGACCGCTAATGGCGACGCTATAGCGCCGCTATCCACCGTTTTTTACAACATTGATTTATATGAGGCACTATCTCTCACATTAGTTTTGATTTTTATGAGGTACTATCATTCTCACAATAAGTTTTATTTATAGGGCTTGTTGATACATAAAAAAAAATTGTGCGTCTACAAGGGTAGTATGCAGAGCCAAGGATAGAGGATGTTGCCAAAGTGACTGATATGAAGGGAGAGAAACGTTTATACGACGCATATGAAGAGAACTTAAATTACATGTGTTTAGTTAAGGTGATAGTTCAGTCATATCTAAAAAAAATTATCATTTTAATAGAAAGTGAAGAATATTCTATAATAATTATCACAACAACAACAGAGAAGGATAAATTAATGCATGCATATGATTCATAGAGTAGTTCAGAGAGTAGGTTGGCAAAATAACAAGCAGTGTTTTCAAAGGCGCTCTCGGGCGCTCGCCTCGGGCGTAAGGCGTTGCGGCGCGGTGGCATCGCGCCCTGCATAAGATGTGGGGGCGCTACGCTTACACCAAGCGCGCGCCCCAGAGCGCCCCATAGCGCTTAGCGCCTTGGGCCGGTCGATCGCCTCAGGCTTCAGCAGCGATTAAGTATAGTTAAATTAGTAAAAACGAGCTATCGGATACAAACCTGACTCCAGCTTACACCCAAAACAATTCTAACTTAACCCACAACAAAGAATTAAGGCTTCATTTACTTCATTCTCTCTCCCTTTCTCTTCGTGTTCGGTGTTCTCCTTGCGCCGGCGTGCAGAAAATGGCGAGTAGCCGACAGTGAGCAGAAAACGGCGAGCAGTGATCGAAAATTAGAACTGATGTATTTTCTTCCTCTCTTTCTTTCATTTGCTTTTGTTTGCCTTTTTTTTCCTTCTCGGATTGGTTTTTTCCTTTTTCACTTTTTTATATTGAGTTTGATCTGACACAACCTCAGTTCTCTATGCTTGTTGCTACTCCCGTTCCTTTTTTTTCCTTCTTCTCACGTGAACTATTGACTATTAAGATGCTATTGGGTGTTTAACTATAAAGCAATGTTTTTGAATGTTTGACTGTTAATGATTTGAGGTAGTAAGCCAGTAAACTGATTTTTAATTAATAATAGGCAATTATTAAAGTTTGGTTTGTGGACTATTTTGAATTAATAATAGGCTAATGATTAAAGTTTGTTCAGATTTTGTGTTGAGTCGGTTGCCTAAAGAGGAGGATATTCCCTTTGAAAGGGATGATGATGATGTTAATGAGGATGACTAGAGTCATTACGCTATTATTTTGCTACTTATTTGCTTTGTTTTATTAGATTGCTTGCTTTGCTTTGATGTTAGTGAACTCCTTAAGTGTTCTAGCTGCTTAGTTGCTTTGTTTTGATGGATAACTTGATTTTCTTCAATGATTAAAGCTTTATCTTGTGATTTGGTAGTATATTTTTTATTTATCTTGGACCTTGATAATTTCTATGTGAAATTTCACAAATATTTTTTGTTCATTCATCTTGTATATCTTTAAAATTTGTGGTCTGGAGTGCGCCTCGCTTCGCTCGGGCACGCGCATCGCCTTGCGCCTTGTGCATGTGCGTGTAAACAGACTTTGCGCCCCGCATTGCGCCTCGCGCATTGAAAACACTGATAACAAGGTTTCGAGGGTGCGAATCATCATAATTTTAAGAGGTAAATATGAAAAAAATTCCTATCATATACCTTTTTCTTACATTTATTTTCTATCATCAAGGTCTAAATTTTCCCCCTCATCTTTCCTAAAAAAATACTAAAAACTAAGTTATCCAAAACAATGCTCTGGTTTATCTAACAAAGGAAGCAATCTGAGAACAAAAACTAAAAAGCAAGGAAAAAGAGACTGCATAAGGAGAATGGAAAGTCATAAGTCGAGGAATGCTCACATCCAACATAATAAGACTATTTCCCCAGTCAGGGGAGAGGTTAGCTAATATTCACCTAGCCGACCTTAAAAGTTTGGAATAAAGTTTTGATGCTATTGTTAGATAATAATAATATTCACACTATTTCTTTCCTTTTAAAGGAAAACATAATACAGATGTGTTTAGCTACACAGACAAGTGTAGCTACTATAAGGAGGAAAATAAAACAGTAGTCCTGGAATGAAAGCTGCTAAATGACGCTAATAGATAAGGGATAACATTCATCCGAAAGCTTGGTAACCATAGGAGAATTACAAGAAAGCAAGTTCACAGTTCAGTCAATATCCGAAATAAACAAAACCTAAGTATTGATATGGCTGCCCTTATGCATGAAGTTCCCAATTCACAACATTGAAAAGGAAGGTGGAACATACCCGTGTTGTATTCTTGAGGTTGCAACTGCTTTGCTCTAGCCTTATCAACCAATTCCTTCCATTTCCTCGACAATGAATAGATATCAACCTACACAAATAAGACACTTAAGAAACATGAAGTTCAACTTCCACATGAAACAACAACAAACTGACCTTATCGGCATCCTGGAGAACTGGGGTAATCAACCCTCCATCTATTGCCACAGCAACAGCAATGTTAATGCTACTATTATAAGTAAAGCTCTTCCCATCTCTACAGCTTGAATTCACAATGGGGTGCTTCGCCAGAGCCATAGCAGTTGCCTTCGCCAGCAATGCAGTCATCGTCACCCCCTTCGACTTAATCTAATCATACAAATTTCCAACAATCGAAATGTACTACACGATCAGACAAAGTAGATAAAACTTATCGAAGAAAAAAAACCACCTTTTTGTAGAAATAACAAAGTGCACGTCTTTATCAATCAAAAACCTCAAAAAATCTCACCTTTTTGTAAAGCTCATCAAGCGCATCAGTAGTAATAGTATACCCAACCCTAAACGTCGGAACCGAGAGGCTCTCCACCATGTTCTTGCTCACAGCTCCCTGCATTGTCGTAAACGGCACCACACTCCCCAGTTGAACCGCCGGAGAGCTCACTACAGGGTTTGAACCCGTAGTCGCGTAGTCCAGAGCCGGAGCAGAGCAGCTATGTTTCCACCGCCGCATTCCACATCCTTGGCCCCCACCAAAATTGGCCAAATCCGGCCCGTTCTTTCCTTTTTTTTTTTTGTTTTTGTTTATTTGGTCTTTTTCTTTTTTTATTTTTTTTCGGGTTTTTTTTTTTTTGTCTTTTTTTCTGTGTTTTTTTTTTTTGTGTTTGTGTCTTTTGGGGTTTATTTTGTTTTTTTTTCCTTTTCTTTTATTGCGCGCGTCTCATCACCGCTTACTTTCGATGTACCCCACGCAGAGCGATGCCGGCGCAGCAGCTTATACGCAACTCTCTTCTT